TGAATTTGAGCATCATACTAACTTTCTTGTTGGCAATAGCAAAATTAATTTCAAAACGATTTGAACGTTTCATAAAACAAATCGGAAAATTCTAACTGGCAAACCTATTATACCAATAATAATATTACCAGTCAGTTATAATCTATACAATATAAAATAAAAAGAACAAAATTCTCATATACATTTCATTAGATATAAGAAAGAGAGAATATAGAAAAACTTACATTAAAGCCGTAAAGTTAATGCATGAATATATTTTAGTAGCAGAAAGATGACACTAATTTGCTGACAGTACCGATCGGAGTACTGACTAAGGTATCTGTGATATATACCAATCACGAGGTTCCAAATTTAAGAAAAATAAGGGCTTTATTGAATCTTATACAAAGATTAACTACACACAGCTCTACTCTAGCCGAATACTACTACTAAAGACTTCTAGAACGAACTAACAGAATAATCTAAAGTTGCATGCTTTTATACTTTACGTAGCATTCGTAGCTACAACCCGCATAGCAACCTTTTACCTTATTTTACACATAGTTAAATTATTCTTAGTAAGACTATTCTACTGCGGACCATCATTAATCCGATATGGATACGACTACAGTACTTACGTAGACATTATTCACACCAGCCAAAGTACAATGAATTAACCATATCCTAATATATGATTTACAGTTCTATTTTTACCTATAGCCTTATTATTAAATTAACTCAACACCTTACTGTATATAGTCATCTGTACTCTAGCATAGCGTCTCTACCTCTACAGTCTATAGTTATAGCTACCAAATATCTCTTAGGATAAATATCTACCGTACATTATACTAAACATGGCTAACAGTCTACAATCACGATACTAGTTACATTACAGTATCCAAGTAACTGTAATACATCATGCTCTAAGTACGCATACTTGTATCAGTTTAACGATGCTATTAACGCTCTGATAAAATGAAAACTCGCAAATAATTATAAAACTTTGTCACTATAGTTATAAAGGACAGTAACTAATCGGCATTTTCTGAGTTTAACAGTTAGTTGTTAAGATTTGAAATTCAAGTACTACGTGAATTTCAGGTGACCACAGTAAATTCCACGAAATGTATCGTAATTAACTTGATTCATTAATGCACTCTTCTTCGTAAGATTCTAATGGTATCTATTTTTCTTGACTTAGAAGATAGTATAACCGTTCAGTATATTTGATGTATTGCATGAGAACTAATTCATCCGCGGATGCGGGAAATTCTCGAGGTACTCCGACTAATGTACTGATTTGACCACTTCTACACAAATAATCAAATACCTGACCGATATCTATTAGTCCTAGGTTACTCTTTATTTGAGACCAGGTAATGATCCAAAACGACGTTAAATATTATCAGACCTTGCGGTCTAACTGAGGCAATATAGATCATGAAGGATCTCACTACAGAACGTAACTAAATCAAACGGCGTACACGAATGTTAGACTTCTCAAGCAATTATAATTATTTATGATGGACGATAACTGTCAACTACTAACTGCAACCCTAATGAGTTGACTGACTAGAGTCGAATCAGTATTCGATAGTAGATATCGATATATACGCGTAAATAAAATTACACTTTATTTCTTTTAGAAAATATTAATTGTATTGGGTGTCTTTTAAATTTGGTATTTCTTTTCCTTGGAAATTACTAAAGTAAATACAAAACAGAATTATAAAGGAATTAATTCGGTCTTCAATCTACTAATTACCAGTTATTAAATTCTATCAATCAATATATCAGCACTTTTTAACTGTTAATACAGGACAATTACTGACCATAGCCTAATCTTGTAATAATGGAACTCTTTGATTTCATCTTTACCCTATTCGTTATTACCTTCCGCCTAGAAAATAAGCTTTATACAGTAATTGTTTGCCGGGAACACATATAAGTCTGACTATAAATTATTGTTTCTTTGCTTTGCTGATAATTCCTGAATGTAATATTATAAGCCTAATTTAAACTTATTCTATTTATACCTAATATGATCTTTTAAGTCATTGTCTTTAATTTACAAAAAACAGTTTTAATTGCTCTAAAATCTACCTAATATGCTGTATTAAGCAATTCGTACTCCATACATTAAATTTACCATATACATACGTACAGTATAAATAAGCTATTACTTCTTATGGCTTAAATATTCATGAATAGTAATAGTCCCACACCTGCCATCTTATATAAATGTGTATAACGTAATAATTTAATACGTAGTAAGGTAGCTTAATTAATATTTAATTTATTTGTTATCATATTCTGTAAACAAAATATTATCGCTACAGACGTAGTTGCATTTCCGATGAATCTTTGCAAAATGGCTCAATACTCTGATCGAAATTAAATCACGTCACATATATATTAGCTATTAAAAGAGCTTACTATAAATTAGGCATAACTTGACTTAAATTAGAGCTGGTATTGTTAGATGAACCAAAAGTTATATTGAGCGAAATTTCAAAAGAAATACTAGTTATTGCTTAATGCCTTAAACAAATTTTATTAAAATTTTTACATAAGGATAGGCGTATGATTCCGATTAATGTTAGAAATACCTATTTATCATATTATATATTCAAAAATTACTCACCATAAGCCTCTGTTGAATCTTTCTGGCATTAGATTATTGTAAAATAAAATGCTATCGCATTGTAATAAATAGGTTTTTAATCTATTTTATCATTTCATTCATCATCTACAGTTACTTTATGAAGTACAAGAAAATATTCCACGTCACATGTAGAAAGGCTTTACTAAATATTACTATTGAACTTTCAAAACACATTGCTACTGTAGTTTATTGTATTTGCTACATGTACTTTCCAATTTTCCTTTAAAGCATTGTAAATTAATCAGTATTGTGATTGTAGACTATATGCCATGTTTAGTATGATGTGCTTTAGTGTCTGTTCTATATTTATCATGTGATATATTTAGTAGCCCATAATTATAGACTGTAATGATAGACTCTATACTAGAGTATAGATGAGTATATGACAGTGAGATGTTGAGCTACTAGTAAGGTTAGAAGTAGAAATAGAATTGTAAATCATGCATTAAAATAGGCTAAATGCATTG